AATCAGGATTTCTGGCTTTTCTCTCTCTTCAAACAAAATCAAGAGCATCAGCTCACCTGCCCACCTGGCCAGAATCACCTGCCATTTGGGAAATGGTGGGGACAGCCAGTGCCCCGCAGCCCTCACACACACCTCCTATCCCGCACTCAGCCAGCTCACTCCTTTGTGTCACCTGCCTCGCACCTGAACCTGACCATCCTGAGCTAGTGCAGGAGATAGGAAAAGTCTTGGAGAACGCACGCAGCGCCCAAGCCTCATCATCAGTAATGGAATGCCTGGGTCTCCCACTGTTTCTGCTTTAACCTTGAAGGGTCTCTTGGGCTCCCTGGGCTTTGGGCTCCTTCTCATCTGTAAATTAGGGTAAGTGCGGGGTGGCCTCCATGGGCAGCTCGGAAATGGGGAGGGAGGTAGCCAGGAGGTGCTGAGGACGCCCCTCCTCCCAAACCCACAGCTTCCATGCCGGTCATACAGGGCTGCAGGCTCAGCACTCCCCCACCCCCACCCCATCATGCACCAGACACCATCTCAGCGCATGTTCTGCAGCCCCGCCCCAAACTCCACCTTCTTTGGATGGGCAGTTAGGCCCTGACTGGGCACCACCCCCACCCCAGTAAAGGATGACCTGGAATCTCGGAAAATTGCAAAGCGTATTTTCTCCTGAGCTTGCCCACACCCCGCCTGAGTGCACATCCCCTTCCTCTTTGAATGAATCTTAGCTTCCGCTCCCCTTCAGTCTCCTCCTTGAATTCTTTCACGAGTGAGGGGCAAGGGCCTAGGAACAAATCTAGCAAGGGGTCCTCTCTCTCTCTCTCTCTCTCTCTCTCCCACTTCTCTCCCTCCCTCTCCTTCCTCTCTCTCCCTCTCCCCCTCCTCTCTCCCTCTCTCTACTCTCCCTTCTCTCTCTCTACCCCCCTCTCCCCCTCTCTCCCTCTATCTCTCTCCCTCCCTCCCTCTCTCCCCCCTCTCCCTCCTCTATCTCCCTCTCTCCCCCCTCCCTTTTTTTTCTCCCCCCCTTCCCCTCGCTGACACTCTGAGGCCTTGGCGGACCCAGCTTGCTGAGCTCTGTTCCATCCTAGACCATCTTCTGTAGGTTTTGCCCCAAGGAGATGGGAAGCCCCTTGCAGGCAGGGACTGACTCTGTGCGCCTCGGCCGTGCTTTGCTCTGTGCCCAAGGATCCCTCCCCGTCAGCATGCCTTGGTGCTACTTCCCACCCACCCCACTCCATGATGTCTGAAGCCAGGCGGGATTGCCTTTGCCTTTTTCAAAAATGGCGGTGGTCAGCTGAAAGATGGAGCGGATACTGTGTGCTCACAAGCGTAGAGTTCTGGTGGCCCAGTTCCTACCCCAGCCCCTAGCAGGCCCTCCAGTGGCTGCCCGTGGGGCTTTCCAGAAACACGCGGCTGTGGTTCTCCCCTGCAGATCTTGAGTGAAGAAGACTGAGACCAGCCCTGTGTGTATTTTCCACTCACCCACCTGTTCACCTGCCCACTTAGCCTCACCTCCCTCCCCCAGAGCCCCCGCTGGATGGGAACAGGTCATGTGATTGTTGGCAGACACAAGGGGTCTGTTTGTTTGGGATGCACTCAGGAACGTGTCATTGACTTTTGACATGTTAACAGAGACAGTGTGGAAGTGGGGTTCTTTTGTAGCAAGGGCTGTTGGAGGAAATCAGGATCCAAAGTTGCTCCAACATGTTTTTAAAGATTTACTCACGTATTTGAGAGGCAGAGTTACAGAGAGAGAGGGAGAAACAGACAGAAAGAGACAGAGAGGTCTTCCATCTGCTGGTTCACTCTCCAAATGGCCACAATGGCCGGGGCTGTGCCAGGGTGAGGCCAGGAAGGAGCCAAGTGCTTCATCCGGGTCTCCCATGTGAGAGGCAGGAGTCCAAGCACTTGGGTCATCTTTCCTTGTTTTTCCAGGCACATTAGCAGGGAGCTGAATCAAAAGTGGAGCAGCCAGGACTCAAACAGGTATTCATATGCAATGCTGGCATCACGGGTAGCAACTTAACCTGCTGTGCCATATGCTGCCCTCCAACTCCAATGTTTTTTAAATGACAGAGTTGTATTTTTTGTGGTGTACAACATGATGTTTTGATGTATGAATTCATTGGGGAATGACTAAATCAAACTAATTAGCATATATGTTACATATCAATTAACATATCATTACAATATTTTTAATGTCCAGTTTTTAGCAAAACAAAAATCACAAGATGTTCTTAGAAACAGGAAAATGTGACACATTCCCAGGAAAACAGCGATCAACAGAAATCATCTCTGAGTGTCCTCCATGTTGTATTTAGACCAGGACTTCAAATAGCTCTTACAAACACCTTCAAAGGATGGAAATAAGCATTATTTAATCTTTTAAGCAAATTAAGACAATAATCAGTCAGCAAAGACGGATTCTAAATAACGTGATAGATAATATAAAGACAGGGGAAATTCTAGAGTGGACAAGTGTGATTGAAATAGAGAATTTACCAGAAAGGCTCACCAGCAGCTTGCATGTGGCAGAGGGAAGAATGAGTGAACCTGAAGCCAGAGTGATAGACACGGACAGCCGAGAGAAAAGGACTGAAGATAAGGAACAGAGCTCAAAGACCAGTGGGCAGCTCGGAGCACGCCAACAAACCCACAGTGGGAGTCCCAGAAGTAGAAAACGTGGAGAAAGAAACAGAGAAGATAGTAGAAGAAACATGGCCAAAGCCGTCTAGACTCTGATGAGAACATTAGATATTATATCCAAGAGATTCAATGAGTTTAAAGGAGGATAAACACAAAGAGATACACACCAAGACACAGCACAGGCAAACATCGAAAAAGACAAAAATCAGAAAGAAATCAGCACAAGAGAAATGGCTCCTTAGTACAGGGAGCAACCGGAGGATGACTTCCCAGATAAATCAGTGCAGGCAGAAGGCAGAGAAATGACACCAAGTGCCGAAAAACCATTGACCAAGAATTCTACTATTCAATAAATCTCCCTCTCCAAAAATGACAATATAGTAAAAACATTGCGCCATAAACAAATACAACATAATTCATTGCTAAAATCTTGCAAATATATTGTAAAATAAGTGAATCCAGACATAGACGACTGTGTGAATGACTCAGTTTACATAAAATTCAAAAAGGAGCAGGTGTGGCGATGTGGTTAAACCACTGCTTGGGAAGCCGACGTCCCCTATTGGAGGGCTCGGGACTAAGTACACCTCTGCTGCTGTGCATGCTGGGAGGCAGCAGGTGGTGGTGCAAGTGCTTGGGCCCCTGCACCCACGTGGGAAACCCAGAGGAAGCTCCTGGCTCCTGAGTTCAGCATGGCCCAGCCCTGACCGTTGCAGCCATTTGGGGAGTGAACCACACATGGACAATATCATTCATTCTCTGACTCTCTCTCTCTCTCTCTCTCTCTCTGTCACTCCAACTTTCAAATTAATTAATTAATTAATTACTATATTTTTTAAAGATGCCATGAACTGGGTGGCTTATAAACAACAGTTATTTTTCACAGCTCTGAGGCTGGGAATTCCAAGATCAAGACGCTGACAGGTGCAGTGCCTGTTTCCTGGTCTTCTTGGTGTCCTCACATGGTGGTGGTGGCGGGGGTGGGGGTGCTGGAGAGCTGCCCGTGGTCTCACTGACGTCATGGCTCCTCCCTCATGATGCCATCCCCTCCCAAGGCCCCACATCAGAGCCAGCACCCTGGAGGGCAGGATGTCAACACACAGGCAAGCATGCAGAGCACAGCAGCCCAGCTGAAGCCGACATCCGGTTTAGCTCAGTACTCAGTGTGACCATTCACCACCTGCCCGATTCCACGGCCATGGCCACAGCCTTCCTAGACTCACTATAGTTTTTGTGATACCTTGCAAAGTAATCTGCTGCTGACTTGTCCTTCTAGCCCATAGGTTTTAGGAAAGCTAAGCCTGTTTCTATCTTGCCTCGGGTCCCCAGCACAGTGCGAGGTGCATAGCAGGTGTCTGATAATTCCTTGCTGAATGCATACATACGCATACAGTAATTGAGCTGATAACAACGTCCTTCTAGGGGCCGGCATTGCCGTACAGAGGTTATACCTCTGCCTGCAACATCAACATCCCATATGAGCACCAGTACAAATCCCGGCTGCTCCACTTCCAATCCAACTTCCTGCTCACGCACCTGGGGAAGCAGCAGAGGATGATCCAAGTACTGGGGCCCCTGCCACCCATGTGGGAGACTGGGTAGAGCTCCAGGCTCCCGGCTTTGAGCTAGCTCAGCCCAGCTGTTGTGGCCATTTGAGCAGTGAACCAGCAGATAGAAGATCTCTCTCTCTCTCTCTTTCTGTAACTCTGCTTTTCAAGTAAATAAATGAATCTTTAAAAAAAAAAAAAAACACTTCTGGCTGGTGCTGTGGCTCACTTGGCTAATCCTCCTGCAGCGCCAGCACTCCAGGTTCTAGTCCCGGTCGGGCCGCCGGATTCTGTCCCGGTTGCTCCTCTTCCAGGCCAGCTCTCTGCTGTGGCCCAGGAAGGCAGTGGAGGATGGCCCAAGTGCTTGGGTCCTGCACCCCATGGGAGACCAGGATAAGTACCTGGCTCCTGGCTTCGGATCATGCAGTGCACCGGCCGTGGCAGCCATTTGGGGGCTGAACCAACGGAAAAGGAAGACCTTTCTCTCTTTCTCTCTGTCTCTCTCACTGTCTAACTCTGCCTGTCCAAAAGAAAAAAAAAAAAAAACACTTCACTTTAATTGAGATATGCCGTGGGAAACAAGGATGCTAAGTAAGGAATTTGGATTTTTTTGTGAAGCAATAGGGAGCCACTGAGAAAGGGAGACACTTGAGCTGAGATTTTATGGCAAGATCTCTGCAGCAGTAGAGATAAGAGGCCATAGAGGAGGTGTGACGGGGGCAGTGGCAGTGGGGGAGCATGGGAGGCGTCCTGTGTCCCCCCTGCACGGTGACCTCACAATCACTCTCACATCACCCGCCCTTCAGTCGCAGCTGCTCTGCTCACTCTGCTCTTTGTGTTCACACCTGAAGGTCACACCTCCCCTCCCAGGCCAGCGAGCTGTGACAGAGGCATCGAGACAGCCAGAGAGCCCCAGCCCCCAGGATGTCAGAGGAGCCGGTGAACCCCAAGAGCCTCATGCCCACCGAGTGGAAGTCCCTGTGGAAGACAGCGGAGGAGCGGCGCATGTCCGACCTCACTCGGGTGCTGGAGTGGCTGGAGCGCAGGCAAGGGAGGAGGAAGCAGACTCCGCAGGTGGGTGTGGCCGTGGGAAGTCTCAGGACTCCTGCAGAAGTGGGGGACGTGAGAACCCAGTGCCCCTGAAACAGAGCACGCGAGGGGTGCTAAGTACGGAGGGTGGCTGGTGGGAAGGGGTTGAGAGGCGGTGCATAGGACCCAGAAGTCTGTGTTAGCAGCGAGATGGTGCATAGGACCTGGAAGTCTGTTTGCTGTCACTCATCAAAGGTAGGCTCCCAGGTCCTTGATTGCAAAACTGACGAGGGGCAGAGAGAAGATTTGCCTCGCAGTGGGTCAGGGGTACAGAATTCACAGGTGCAAGTTTTCTGATGTCTAAGAAGAAAGCAGCAAAGGGAAGTTTAAGCCATGAGGACTGTCACCTGCGTCAGCATTCTAGAGGGGTTGAGGGGCAGTGGTTTCCAGGGTGTCCCTACTGGGAGGATGGGACTCTTCCCACCATCTCCAGCCACCTCCCTCTATAGTGGCCCCAGAGTCAGGGGCCACTTCAGTTCCTGTTACCACTGTCCCCACCCAGGATCCTACCAACACACCTCCTCCCTTCCACCCTGCATCCAAGCCGGTTCCAATCTTCCTCCCGGAGCTACAGCCACAGCTCTGCAAAGTGGTGTCCTCTACAGAGGATGCCCCTGAACTTGACTCGAACCCCACGTGAAAGGGGTGAGCGATGGCCTTGCTGATGATGGCGCTCAGCACACAGCCCAGACTTACCGTGGGCCAGGCCCCCAGCCAGGCTCCAAGGCAGGCACCCCGGTTACTTCCTGAAGGGAAAGGAGACTGAATGACCAAAAGTCATTTTCCTAAGGTCACAGGGTTATGAAAGGACAGGGCAAGGTTCAAAGTCAGATTTTCCTGATTCCCAAGTTCACGGGCAGGGTTGGCCAATTCCCCAAAGCCACCACTACTTGCTCAGCGGTGTCCAAGTCAGCAGGAAAGCTCTGTAGCCCATCACAGCCCAGCAGAAAAATCACAGCCAGAAAGGCCCCTGGGAGGCTGCGAGGAATTCCTCCCGGGCTGAGGAGGGGTCCCACATGGAGGGGGTAGAGAATTAGTGATGGATTCTGAAGTCGAGAAGGACCAGACCAGGCCTGAGGGGTGGGAGGCTGCTCTGGGGACAGGGACAGGGACCCCAGAAGACCCCCGCAGGCAGCAGGTAGTGGAGGGCACTGCAGCACTTAGACTGTGGGCTAAGGCTGGGGGTGCAGGGGTGCGGTCCACTCACCAGGGTGGGAGAGGGTGGGAGGAGCCGACAGGAGCACCTGCAGGGCTCACCTCACCTGTCTTTTCAGAAACAAAAGAGCAAGAAGGAGACGTCCCCCAAAGCAGGTGGAAAGGAACAGAAGAAGGGCAAAGGCATCTCGAGACAAAAGGGAGGCCCCGGCAAGGTGAGCGCCCCAGCCAGCCCACCCGGTCCCCACTCCTCTAGCACAGGGCTTAGAAATACACTGCCCCCTCCACCCCCCATGCAGCCAACCCATGCCCTCCCCCGGCGCTGTCCATCTTCCGCGCCACGAGCCGTGACATCATGGCAGTCAGTTTCCTCTGGGCACCTGCTACCTCTTTCCTCTCCCACCGTTCTACCCTCTCAGCCATCTAGGGAGAAAGGCCACAGGCCCCACACCCAACTGCCTGCAAGAGCTGGGCTGGGCCCCTCGTGGCCTCCCTCTGAGACACACCAGGGTGTGGGGTGGGGCAGGGGGGCAGGAGCACGCGAGCCCCTCAAAGGCAACCTCCGCCCCCACCGCCAGGGGCCTAGAGCAGGTCTCCTCTTGCTCACCGTTGCCTGCCTTTCAGCAAAACCTTGAGGGGGCTCCGTTTGGGGGGGGGGGCAGGCAGGCCTAGGATCAGGCTCTAACTTCTCCTCTCCCTCCAAGACCTCGAAGCAAAATTCCACAAGGGAGGAGAGCTCCGTGGCCACCCGAAGACTCCTCAGCGTGGACCAGAAGGGAAGACATCTCAGCACCTTCTCCAAGGACAGTACCAGGAAATCTGGTAAGGGACCTGCCTTGGCCTGGGACACCAGCCTCCTCCATCCTGCCTGGGGGGCTGTAGCATCCAGATAAATCTAACCACAGTCAGAGACCCGAGTCAGAGACTGCCCCCCACCCCCCATGGAGGCTCCTCAGGGGTCACACCTGGCCAGCCAGGGATCCGCCCACCCCTGGGTGCTGTCTTCCCCGGAAGCCCCGTGCATCCCAGGTTCCCCAAGCCAGTTCTGCCACATTGATCTCACGGCTTCCGTGTTAGGTAACTTTTCCAGATACTGTGGTAAGGTCTGTTACAGGTGGTACCACCCCCACTGGTCTGGAACCTGCAAGGGGGTGCTCACACCTAGGAAGAGATGGGCTTAGGCTGTGCCAGACCCTTGGGTCCAGAGACCTGCCCAGTCTGGCTCCACTACTGTGGAAGCTCAGAGTTGGTCAGTCCCCGTCAAGTCACCTCTGGACTCTTCATCCATAAAATGGGACAATAGCGTAACCAGCCTCAAGGTCAAATAACGGGGTTGTGGCCGAATGAGATACATGAAGCCCTCAGCCTGACACGAAAGAGGTGCTCGAAAAATGCCAGTGCCTCCCTCTAAGCCAAGATGCCGCCCGATTCTGGGTGGGCGGAGCCACGGCGCAGGAAGTGCAGAGGCATTGCTTGTGAGTGGCCTCCTGAGATCAGAGAAAGCTGGAATCCATTTAGCTCGCGGGAAAAGCAGACAAGAGTCTTTGAGCCTGAGTTGCCAGCTCTTGTCTACAAAATTGCCCCCCTTGTGCCCAATAAAAAAATCCTATTTTCCCTCTTTTCATTTAATACAATGAAGTCGTTGTAACCAAACTGTAGCCACTTGCCTGTCAAATTTAAATATAATTGGCAGCGCAGGATCCTGGACTGAATCCTAGAACAGCCCTACAGTAGAAAACCTGGCAGCATCCACACAAGCTCTGGAACGCTCCAGAGTTCATTTCGTAGTTGACAAACGGGCCGTGGCCTTACACGGAGTGAACGTCCAGGGAAACTGAGTCACGGGAAGCAGGGATGCTTCTTATTCTCTGTGCAGTTCTTCTGTAAATCCATCTTTTTTTTTTTTTTTTCAAAATAAAAAAGCTTATTCAAATAAAACCCTATTGGCGTATGCCCTCTGGGAAGCCCCATGCCTTTTCCACATGTTCTGTGACCCCCAGTGCCATGGCGGGCTCCCAAGTCCTGGGCCTCGCGGGTCCTGGAGCTGCTGGGGGTCTCACCTCCAGCACTGCACACCGCTCCCTGCTCCCTGCCCACCCAGGCCCACGATGGCCCCACTGCCCTCGTTTCTCTGGGAGCCTCTCCCAGGAAGACTCGCTGGGTGTAGCCAGAGCTTCCTGAACATTTCAGGAGAGCAGAGGGCACCCCCCGCCCCCCGCAACCTGGTCTTCAAGGTCCTTTGTCCACTGCCCTCTGGGAGATTTTCCCAGGCTGCCCGTTCCCTGTGGGACGTCATCTCTCGTGGTTTTCTCAACTCAAATGCAGGGACCAGCATGAGACAAGCCAGGCACTCAGGGCACAGAAGTTAAGGAGGTGCCCTCTCACTCAGCTGTCCATGCTGCAGCTTCTTGAGCCTGAGAGCGAGTGCTTCCTTAAATCTGTGTCCAGAGCACCCCGCTTCCACACCCCTGCCCGCTCCCCCCCCCCCCGCTCTCTTCTTCCTCTCTCTACCCCCTTCCCTCTCCTCGGCTTTCCTCACCCCACCCACTCCTGTCAACTCTAACTTGGCAAGATCTCTGTTTCATTGGTCTCATTCTGCATTCAATGCAAGTCTATCAAGATATTTGTCTAAAGGTCTTTGCTTCCCTAAAAGAAACTCAGACCAGTGGATGAAGTAATTGTTTTCGTCTCCGTGCACAAGGCTGCGGGGAGGGCAGGCTGACTTGACAGCTGTTGCATTTTTTGCTGCCCCTTCTCCTCCCCACCACCCAAGAGTGAGTGAGGGAGAAGCCTTGTTTCTCCTAATGGAATACAACCAGCGGTCACTTGGGGGCAGACAAGGGGCCAGCTCAAGGGCAGCAGCACATTGCAGAGGCATCTAGGAACCTCCAGAGTGTCCAGGTGTGGCACCCAGGGCTGAGTGTGGGTACAGCCAGGGGACCTTCCTGTGCAGGCTGGCAAGAGGCATAAGGTGAGTGGCGAGGGTATGGGTTAGGAGACAAGTTCAAGTCAAAGCAGCCCCTAGGGCGAGCGTGGAGGCTTACACACCCAGCTCGCCGTGCTAACTCGGATTGAGTCAGGCTTGGCACACCCAGTGTGGCTCCTGTTGTGTGCACCATCTCCAGAATGGCATTAGCAGTGTAGCAGCTCTAGAGAGAGCCAGAGATCCCTGCCACCGCCCACCTTGCAGGACCAGTTCCGATTCCTAGCCCCCGCCTCTTTAATATTTTAAGTCTCCTTTTCTTCCTCTTCATTTTCACTACCATTATCGTGGTTTAACCCCGATTCTCTTCCACCATAGCAGCATCCAACGGCTTCCAGCCTCCATGGCTGCCACATGGGGCTTCATAACTTATTTTTTCTTTGAAGTGAATTTCTTCGTGGCACCACTAGAGGAAGTTAACAAAGCTCTAATAACTGACCCTAAAGAAATAGAGATTTATGAAATGACTGACAAAGAATTCAGAATAATCTTCTTAAAAGAGGCCAGTGAACTACAAGAAAATAGAAAACTAAATCAAATTAAGAAGACAATACTTAAAATTTAAAATGCAACAAATAAACAGAAACCATTAAAACTCCCACGCAAAAATCAAGAATGTGAAAAACACAGTTTGTACTGAAAATTTTAATAAGGTGCTTCAATAGTAGGCTTCATCAGACAGAAGAATCTGAGTTCAAAGACAAGTCGATTAAAATTACCCAGCAAGGATGTAAAATGAAACAAAAGGATGAGAACGGATAAAGACAGCCTTCAGGACTTGTGAGAAATCGTCCAGTGAAGCCATTATTGCACCATGGGCATCTGAGAAGGAGAAGAAAATAAGAGAGAGAGAGAGAGAGAGAGAGAGAAAGGAAGGAAGGAAGGAAGGAAGGAAGGAAGGAAGGAAGGAAGGAAGGAAGGAAGGGAGGGAGGAAGGAAGGAAGGAAGGAAGGAAGGAAGGAAGGAAGGAAGGAACTGGAAGGAAGGAAGGAACGAACTGGAAGTCTACTTAAACAAATGATTATGGAAAACTCCCCAAGTCAGGGAAGGATTATGGATATCCAGATTTGTGAGGCCCAAAATACCACAAAAAGTTTGGACACAAAAGCATCTATACAGAGGCCATTACAATTCAATTGTCAAAAATAAAAGAATTTTGAAAGCATCAGAAAATCAACACATCACATACAAAGGAACTTCTTAAAGTCTATCATCAGATTTCTCAGCAGAAATCTTGCAGGTCTGTGGTATCATGGCCTAGCAGGCAAAGCCAAAGCCTATGGGACACTGGCGTATCATACAGGTGCCATTTTGAAGCCCAGCTGCTCCACTTTTCATCCAGCTCCCTGTTAATGCACCTGGGAAAGCAGTGGAAGATGGCCCAAGTCCTTGGGCCCCTTCATCTGCATGGGAGACCCAGATGAAATTCCTGGCTCCGGGATCTGGCCTGGCCTAGTCCCAGGCATTGCAGCCTTTTGGAGTGTGTTAGGTTTGGGATAGCTCAGGGTTCTGGCCTTTCATATCCCCAGAAAGGAGAGAGAAGAGATGGAGCCGACCTCAACAGAGACAGGTTGCTTTACTGAAGCAAAGAGGTAGTGACAGTCTCTTCAGAGACAGTGCACAGGGTGGGCCACAGGGCTGGGGTTTTATCTGGTCTGGTTGCCAAAGAAACTTGCACCAGGGGCTCTCCAGAAGCCTTGGAGGCCTTTCACTTATCTAGTTCTCATTTTGCAGGTGGAGAAAGAAAGAGAGAGAGAGAGGGAGGGAGAGAGACCATGAGCGGATCTCCCACAGTGGGGGGAAGAGGGGTGGGGGGAAGGGGTAACATGCCCTTTTAGGGTGTGAAGTAGTGTGGATGGAAGATTTTCTCCTCTCTCTCTCTCTCCTTCTCTTCTCTGTATCTCCGATTCTCAAAGAAATGTGTTTTTTTTTTTTGAAAAAAATAAGTCTTGCAGGCCTGAAAACAGTAGGAAGATATATTTAAAATATAAGAAGAAAAAAATCCTGCCAGCCAAGAATAGTGCACCCCATCAAACTGTACTGCAGAGATGAAGGGATGAGAGCAACATTCCAGAACAAGCCAGAGCCGAGAGGCCTCATCACTGCTCGACCTGCCTTCCGAGAAATACTGAACATAGCTTCTCAAGCTGAAACAAGAGGACACAGAAGTGTGCGAATGTATGAAACTTACTGGTAAAAGGAAAATATATAGTCAAACTCAGCACTCTAATATTGTAATGGTGGTGTGCAAATAACTTTCAAATCTACTATAGATGTTTAAAAATAAATATATTTAAAAAAACTATAATAACTTCATGGATGCACACTATAAAATATGTAAATTATAGCAGTGGTAACATAAAAAGAGGGGAGAAGTAAAATTGTAGACTTTTTGTATATGATCAAAGTTAACTTGTACCAGCTTAGAACAGGATTTCATGACTATGTGAAATTTCATGTAAGTCTCATGGTGACCACTGAGGAAAATCCTGTAATAGACATACAAAAAACTAAGAAATGAATCGAAGCATACCACCACAGAAAGTCATTAAAGCACAAAGACAACAGGACAAATAGGAACAAGGAAACACCCATGAAACAAGTAAAGTGGCAGGAGTAAGCTCTTGCCTATCAGTAATTACTTTAAGCAAAAGTGGATTAAATTCTTTAATTAAACCAGATATGGTAGCTGAGCGCATATAGGGATGAAATCCAACTATGTTCTGTTCCCAAGAAAATCCATCTTTAGGGACACATATGGGCTGATAGTAAATTGATGAAAAAAGAGATCCCATTCAAATGAGAACCAAAGGAAAGCAGGGGTGGCTATGCTTCTATC